CTATACAGGCTCCTGGTGAGGTGACTTATAAGCAGGGGGTTGCAGATCAAGAGTGAAGGGCATTGACGGAGTTGTGTGGGAGTCTGACCTGGATCAGTAGCATGCACTAAGGAGACAGGCTAAGGACTTCTTGCCAAAAAGAGAAAGAGAGAGCTCAAAACTGCTGTGACAAGGAGCTTAGCAGGTCAGGACTGAGACCATTGGCAGAGCTGTGCATACTTGTTATTAGAGGTATTAGTTTGGACAATGCTGTATCTGTCCCAGCTTGTCTCTCTAGTCTTTTCACCACCTCTCTCCCTTCCTCCTCAAAGGCACCCACTGCCCTCAGAAAAAGCCTACTTATATGCATGGACACACACCCTTCACCTGCCCAAGTCATTTTATCTCTGTGCCATTTTTCCTTTCCCTCTAGTGGGACCAGTGAGTGTAACTAAGAGAGAAAGAAGTTGCTGAGCAACTAGTGGTCCCTTGAGGAGGAAACAGCAATCCACCTGCACCTGTCTTCCCAGGTGACCTTCTCAGGTAGGTGGAGAAGTGCTCTTATCCTGGCTGTTTATACCACCATCCATGCACACCGTCCCTTTTTGCCAGTCTCCCTTGGATGGGATTCCTCCTCCTCCTTCATCAGAAAAAGCCACAGCTCTCCTGAGCACATTGAATACTCCATGTATGACCAGACAGGGCAAAGGCCAAAATGCAGGAACATGGCGTCAGATTATTGATCACTGAGGAGACCTTGGCCTGAGTAAATACGTGTCATTTGATATGTCTGTGCGTGAGTGTGTGGCCAGTCACACACACAGCTGCATGTTTCAAAGGTAGGTCTGTAGCTCTGGGGGGAAACCCCAGTGTCTAGAATTAATCTTCTAACACAGAGAGCCTTTTCTTTTTGCTTGGTTTGTGGTTCCTTTTTGCTGCTGTTGTTTTGAAGGGAACCCTTGAAGGTGGACTAGAGACCCTCGCCTGTTCCCTCCCACTTTGCAAGAGGGAACCCAGATGGGGAATGAAAGGTGACCACGGAGAAGCAAAAGAAGGAAACCAGTGCTTTCCATATCAGCTGTGCATGCAGGGGCCATAGGAGACAGGATGTGGTAGTGCTAAAGGATTCATCGTGCATTTCTGTGCCATCTTTGGTTGTGTTAGACATTTCTGGTGAGTTGCTTAATTTTTACGCTGTGTTTGTGTGTCTCGATACTGAGGGGGTGGGTATATGAGGTGGGCCACAGCACTGGGTGAAGAGAGAAGGCTGGCTGGTACTCACACACATGCATGCACACATACGAGCACAGACCACTGTACATGGACCCACAGGCATGAATACCTGAGGATTCAAGCACGTTTTCCTCTCACACACTGTCTGGCACTCTTCATGCGTTCACAGTCATGGAAACACTCAGGTGCATGCATTATCAAATAAATGCTTGGGATAACGTGTCCTCTAGGAGGCATATCCTCATGTAAGCATTTTCATAGACTGGAAACCACACACACACACTCAGGCATGAGTGTCAGTGGGTCATCAAGGCAGCAGTCCATCTTGTTAGGTTATGGCACATCTTACCCGAAGACCATGGAGCTTGCAGGAAAGGGAGCAGACAGGAGGAAGATGGACCATTGATTGTTGTTGAATTGGGATTAAAGGCAATCAGAAGATGTTGGTCAGCAGGACAGTGAGGAAGACAAAGGACTCAGTTGCCTTTGGGCATTTACCTCTTGCCACAGTCATATCCTGAGTGGGTTATAGCTCTGAGGTCCCATACAACAGGAGCTGGACCCCACTACCCCTGTTGAGTTTGTAATATGGAATGACAGGGTTATATTTACCTGTCCCTTTATAGATTGAAGGTCAGCTGAGGAGGCCAAAGGGGAAAGAACAGGAGAGGCCAGGTGTGATTGCAGTAGCAGAGACTGAAGTGCTCTGAAAGAAGATACATGGGACAGAGCAACCACATGGAGATCTCAGCAGAGCTAATTAACCAGGGCTCAGCACTGTGTTATTATGGTTATATTACTTCCTGTGCCTGACCTAGCTCTGAGGGAGCTGTGGTCAGGTGTCACTGAATTGTGTCGTCTGGGCACCTTTCCAACAGTAACAGGGTTGTGCAAGCTGTGAGTGTGTGGGTGTGCATTCAGATACCTCCTGTAATAGAACTCAACTCTTGAAGCTATTCCTGGCCTGGTGGTCTAACACCTTAACCTAAACACAAACATGTATAATGATAAAAGTATAATTAAAGCAGGGTAACTGTTGTCGGGGAGCAAGGCCGTATTTTGTTACAATACAGATCAGTATGAGATGAAATAACTAGAGAAGGGGACAAGTCAGGGAAGCTTTAATAGGCAAGCCAATACCAAAAGATGGGAATAGAATCCAGCATCCTGACTCTCACCTTGGATTTATGTAGCATAACATGGATTTACAATCTTATATCCAGACTAACTTTAAAAGCTGGATTTTCCTGTAATGAGCAATATGTTTCTTATAGATGAGCCACAGGGACAGTTGTCACAATTAAGTATCAGTCTGATGAATCCTTTGGAATAGAATTTTTAAGTCAGATTCTCCCAGTCCAGGGACCTAGTGGCATCATTTTCACCTGTGCAGATGACAGTATAAAAATCACCAGCCTGTTTTAGTTGACTTTTGCCAAGGCAGCAGGAAGTCTGGCTTGGAGTGGTCTGGATTCTCTCAGTTCTTACTGCCTGTGGGGTGATAGTGCTCTCCATAGTCAATGCACCTTTCGGTTAGGGGTTGTGCATGGTATGAAGGGAGCAAGATCTGGAGCACTGTGATCTCAGGAGAGGTGATGCTGGTGCATTCAGTGACATTTGGGGAGGACACCTAGCTAGGCTAGGGAAGCCTTAAAATATTAAGACATTAGATATTTAGGGAATATATTTTCAGGGCAAGATCCTAAAGGCCTAACTCAGTCCCTGCCTCAGCAAAAACTGGATGAACTCCAACT